GGGGGGGGGGGGGGGGGGGGGGGGGGGACATCTCTCCGCCTCCTACGGTTACAAAGGGGGCAACACACACCGACGGGCAATTTTCAGCGGAACTGCGATCGGTATGTTGGATCGATTGAAAGCTCCACAACCAAGAGGGTGCTACATATCGAACCCGACAGGGCGCGAAATCGAGATCGATGCGTCCAAAACCACCCTTTTCGGCACGTCCAAAACAATACTTTTCGGCATTGGCAGCCTCTTCTTGGTTGCGGAGAGATCGAGATCTAAGAAAAAAACGATCGCGAAACCTGTGCGTTCGCCCGAACTTTGTTTTTTGACTGTGAATTCGCAGAAGCGCGGGACACACTCTACCCTTCGCCAAAGAGGTAGACTGATGTCCACCGCCTCAAACTTTCTCAATACGGGCAACTCCAGGTTAAAAAAACGCAGCTTGTATTTTAAACCCTACATTTTCCCTTACACTCTGCTATTACATACCACGGCATTTTTATTTATCAATGTCTTATTTTTCATTTTCTCGTTTCATGTTCACTTTTAATCATTACCTGACGGGTTCCTGGCGCCCGGACGGGGTTCGACAGGTCCGACACTGTGTTCGCGCGCTTGACCCTCGCGGTAGCTTGCGAGCCCAGTCCCCCACGATCCATGTCATCGATGTTGTTCGCGGAGAGAGACATGGGCCTGTCGCCTCCTCCCGATACGTGTGGTCTCGGAGGGGGATCGAATTCCTTGTCCCTGGGCGGGGATAAAAAAGTGGAATTTGTTGAAGGAGCAGGCGAAAACAAATCAACTTCTTACTGTACAGCAGTCGCATTCTACCGAAATACGTACACAAGAAAAAAGTTGATAATCAACAGCAGATACAGTCACAAGATGCGGCGGGGAAGTCGAACAAGAATCGCTCACAACAGAGTGAGGGGAGAAGCAACGCTGAGAAACAAAGCAGCAGTAGGAGGGGGGGCAGAAGCAGAAGCGAAACATATTCACTCAAAAGTAGCATGCGCCTACACGACGACCACCTATTTGGTCTTACTCTCAGGTTAATGTTCATCACATCACATCTACTCACGTTCTGAGTCGGTTGACCATGTCCAGCTGCTCCTCGGCCTCCCTGGCGACGTCCCTCGTGATTTTTTCAGCCGCGTCGACGGAGTAGATCAGACCCGCACCCTCCCCCATGTACACCTTCGCGATCTTCGAAGCGAGAAAGAAACAGAAGCAAGCCCCCAAGACACGACAATAAACGATTGCTGTCCCATGTACAGACAGAACACACCGCCTTTTTGGGTAGCAGTGAAAAAAAAATGTTCCATCGTTTTTGGCAAAGCGGGGCCATGATCAATACACGTCGTGTACCGCTCCCATGTACACCTTTCGCGATCTTCGGAGCAAGAAATTTTTCAAAAGCAAACGCAAGAATAAGGAGTGACTAAGAAGGAGTTATTGGGTAACGGTTAAAAGTGGTGCATTGTTGTTGAAAACCCGTCGTTACGATCGATAGGCCTCGTTGTCCGTTCAGATATCCTCTGTACCACGATTTCAGCAGCGCTGCTCGTCGACAAGTTGGCCAAGGGAAGTTCACATCAAATACAGTAGCAGTGGGAAGAAAGGCTTCCCGACAAGCCCGTTTAGAAGTTCCATGCACCACGATTTGAGTAGAGGCGTCCGTCGACATTTTTGTTGGTGGAATGAAATTCCTTTTTTTAACCCAGCAGTGAGAAGAAAGGGTTTTACCGCCAAGCCCGTTTAGATATTCTCTCTACCGCGACTTAAGCAGCGTCGACAAGTTGGTCAAGGGGAAGTTCAAATCAAAAACAGTGGCAGTGGGAAGAAAGGCTTGCCGACAAGCCCGTTTAGAAATTCGATGTACCACGATCAATGCAGCGTTGTCTATCGACATGTTCATCGAATGAAATCAACTTTTGACACAGAAGTGAGGGAAGTGGTACCGACAAGCCCGTTTAGATATTCTCTCTACCACAATTTGAACAGCGTCGACAAGTTGGTCAGGGGAAATTCAGATCTAAAACAGCAGCCGTGGGAAGAAAGAGTTGTCGACAAATCCGTTTAGACTTCCTACGTACCACGATCTAAGCCGTGTCCGTTGAAGGGAAAGTTCAAGTCTAACACAATATTCTAGCAGTCGTAAGACAGGCCAAGGCTTACCGACAAGTCTCTCATCCTCTCCGCGTCTTCAAGCTGAGCCGTCGGCCTCGAGTGGCCGGTTACGCCGTCCCTACGCAACATATCACGTACCAAACAAACGCGCACAAGGGTAAGTGCGTGTCTAATATTCCTTCTGAACCTTCCCAGCCTAACGCGGGAGATTGTGGAAATACAGGTAGCCTCCGCTGACGCTATGGATCCAGTGCTAATCTACGTTATATGCATAGACCTTTTTCGATAGAGAAGAGATTGATTCGTTGTGTCATAATAATAAAAAAAACTACTGACCAATGAAAGACGTCAGTCTCAGTGCGGTTGAAAGAGAAAGTGCTTCTAAGGCCATGAGGTAAGACTCCCATGATGTGTGTGTGCGTATATGTTCGTTGCTGGCATCGACGTCGCCAACTGGCTTACCACAGCAGAAAGTACAGCCGTGCCTCGCTTAAGGACACCAAAATTGAGGAAACTCCTTCGGTTAAGGACAACTATTTTTTCACAGGCATGGCTCGCAGAATGTACAACATAAGGAGGGGTATCAACCTTACGAACACTTTCCCGGCTTGAAGGACACTTTTATTAGCAAACAAAACAGGTTTGTCCATAACCGAGGCTCGACTGCTGCACGCCAGCCTTTGCGCGGAAAAAAAGAGTAATAGCAGAACGTGTGTGTGAGTGGGTGGGTGTCATTTGAACCGACTGCGCCAATCCTCTGGCCGAAGGCAACACGTCAGTCAAATATCGCGATAAAACCGTGCGCGCAAACTACTTTCTAGTCGCCGGGCAACCCCGGCGGGGGGGGGGGGCGCACGCGGAGGAGGTTGTACGACAAAGTCTAGTCTCCGATTAAACACTACGGAGGAGGGACGTAGTTCGATATAGCGTGAGTATTGGTCATGAATGCTACAAGTGATTCCTCCCGAGTGGGCTCATGAAAGAACAGCAGTGTCATCAAGGGGTGATGACACAAGATTAAAATGGAAACAGACAGCAGGACCAGCCCTCAAACGGCACAAAAACCCTTGAACCTGCACAGCGCACACCGGTTATTACCTGCCAGACAGACAGATCCTCCTGCCAGCGATAACTCCACCCAACTATCGACTTCGACTAAGGACACCAAAACCTTGGATGCGAACGGCGCACACCGGCCCACCACACCTCAAATGAACGACACAAGAACCCTCATAACCCTGTGCAATGCACACCGGCACGTTTGCGTCTCTCTCTTGATTACCTGACAGACAGGTCCTCTTCGAGCCGGGCCTCCTGAGTGTGCCACTTCGCCGTGAAGTCGTTCCAAGCCACCCCGCTGGAGTCGTAGGGCTCGGGCCACAACACGGGGTTGTGTGGGCGGACCGCTGCAGCCATGTCGAACACTCGTGTCCTCACAGTCTCGTCTCCGCCTGGCCATGGGAGGCGGCATACGTTAGACACCACCCCCCCCCTTGGGCTCGTCTTCGCGAGAGATTGATATTGTGAGGGAATAAAGAGGGACGGGATTGTACACAGAGCCTGGCCCAACTCCCCCCAACTGCATACATTATCCAACATGTTTTCTCGAACGAAAAATCCTGCGAAGGCCGTTCTTTCTTCATAATAATGCAATATGACTAATCCATATCTATCTACAAATGAGAGTCCAGATTTTCAAAGTGCGGTTGCTCTGCGGGACAAACAGTGGTAATGGTGCCGAAAAATGGCTGGCGGCGGTGGAACAATGTCAAACAGAGCCTTCCGAAAACGCGCCTCTTGATTGTGGATTTCCCTTCATCGTCAAGTAATTGAGCTTTGAAAATCGGTCCGCGGGGTATGTTGTAGTGTCTTCTGCAACACACGGTAAGCTGCGAGATAGCAAGGGGGGGTGGGGAGACCAGAGCCCTGCACACGGCCAACGTCCTTGAGCCCGTAGCAGCTTCTCGTGCCCCCCCATATGCTTGTCTTTGTTGTCATGATAGGGCTATAATTTGACTAAAAAATTAGTGAAAATCACTGTGTAAAACACAATCTTACAAGATATTATCAACATGTCACTAAACTGTAGAAACTTTTCAAAATTCTAAAAAAAAAAACGAACACCCCTTGCTACGAAGATACAGCAGTCAAACCATCACTAATAAATCTCACTGGTGCTGACGATCTTGGCCTTGTGGTCGTCGGTTCCCAGAGCCTCGTACGTCGCACAGTACCTGCAAAAAAAACGCCACAATAGACGGAAAGAGGTTCTCAAGCCCTACGGGGACTGCTTGTGCTTACAAAAGCCGAATGAAAACACCTCACACCACAGCAGCAACACAACCAACAACAACAGCAACACAACCAACAACAGCAGCAACACAACCAACAACAGCAGCAACACAACCAACAACAGCAGCAACACAACCAACAACAGCAGCAACACAACCAACAACAGCAGCAACACAACCAACAACAGCAGCAACACAACCAACAACAGCAGCAACACAACCAACAACAGCAGCAACACAACCAACAACAGCAGCAACACAACCAACAACAGCAGCAACACAACCAACAACAGCAGCAACACAACCAACAACAGCAGCAACACAACCAACAACAGCAGCAACACAACCAACAACAGCAGCAACACAACCAACAACAGCAGCAACACAACCAACAACAGCAGCAACACAACCAACAACAGCAGCAACACAACCAACAACAGCAGCAACACAACCAACAACAGCAGCAACACAACCAACAACAGCAGCAACACAACCAACAACAGCAGCAACACAACCAACAACAGCAGCAACACAACCAACAACAGCAGCAACACAACCAACAACAGCAGCAACACAACCAACAACAGCAGCAACACAACCAACAACAGCAGCAACACAACCAACAACAGCAGCAACACAACCAACAACAGCAGCAACACAACCAACAACAGCAGCAACACAACCAACAACAGCAGCAACACAACCAACAACAGCAGCAACACAACCAACAACAGCAGCAACACAACCAACAACAGCAGCAACACAACCAACAACAGCAGCAACACAACCAACAACAGCAGCAACACAACCAACAACAGCAGCAACACAACCAACAACAGCAGCAACACAACCAACAACAGCAGCAACACAACCAACAACAGCAGCAACACAACCAACAACAGCAGCAACACAACCAACAACAGCAGCAACACAACCAACAACAGCAGCAACACAACCAACAACAGCAGCAACACAACCAACAACAGCAGCAACACAACCAACAACAGCAGCAACACAACCAACAACAGCAGCAACACAACCAACAACAGCAGCAACACAACCAACAACAGCAGCAACACAACCAACAACAGCAGCAACACAACCAACAACAGCAGCAACACAACCAACAACAGCAGCAACACAACCAACAACAGCAGCAACACAACCAACAACAGCAGCAACACAACCAACAACAGCAGCAACACAACCAACAACAGCAGCAACACAACCAACAACAGCAGCAACACAACCAACAACAGCAGCAACACAACCAACAACAGCAGCAACACAACCAACAACAGCAGCAACACAACCAACAACAGCAGCAACACAACCAACAACAGCAGCAACACAACCAACAACAGCAGCAACACAACCAACAACAGCAGCAACACAACCAACAACAGCAGCAACACAACCAACAACAGCAGCAACACAACCAACAACAGCAGCAACACAACCAACAACAGCAGCAACACAACCAACAACAGCAGCAACACAACCAACAACAGCAGCAACACAACCAACAACAATAGCAACACAACCAACAACACAGCCACCACCACCTCCGACGAAGCACACCCTGGTAGACTAACCTGGTGCCCATGACGACACCATCGCAGCCCAACGCCAGGGAGGCGAGAAGGCCCCTCCCGCTCACGATGCCGCCAGCGGCGAGCACCGGCTTCCCAGTCTCAGCCAGCTCTACCGACACCGCTGCTGCCAACGGGAGGACGCCTCGTGCCACCTCGGGTCTGGGTGCGGAACAGAAGGAAAAACGATTACATCTACAGTCGTGGCTCCGATACAAAAGGGTAGTGTGAAAAAGGCCCTTGATCCTCTCATAAGGGAGCCCCCATCTATACCGGAACAATGGGTTGCCCATCTACACTATAGCGGGTCGAGTCCGTGACAACCGATTTCGACCCTCATGTATCTAAGCGTAGCAGCAGTATAAATAGCAGCAGCCAAACACGATGCAAACAAACGACAGAGACGAAAATGCGCTTGAAACCAGAGCTCGGGTTCGGACGAGAAAGAAAATACTGCGGAAGTATAGGCTAGCAGCAGCAGCAGCCCAAAACGCGGAAAAAAAACGAAAAGACGCGAGAACGTGCTTCAAACCACAACTCGGGTCTGAACAAGGAAAAAATACCGAGTGGTATTAGCAGCAGCAGCAGCACCCAAAAGCGACAAAAAGGCAGCCGAACCACAGCGTCTGGGTGTTTATACATACATGGCCCGGGAAAAAAAATGGAAAACAGGCCAGAAGTAGACGGTGCCGAAGACGGCGACGCTGGAACCAGCTAGCTTCCCGAAAGCATGAAACTAAACTTTGGCATCCTCTTCGTCGTGGAGAAAATCGAGCTTCGAATTCCGGCCCACGGAGTGCGGTATCCTGTGTTATCTACGGCAGCAATACGGTACGGTACACATGGACACACCTGAGGCCGTGGCCTCCGGCTTCCCGACCTTGGGCCACCACCACGGACGCGCCCATTTCCACCGCAGTTCGGGCCTGACTCACCGTCCCCACCTTGCCAAAAAACGCCACCATCAACAAGAAGGGATTCGGTCAGAGCATAAGAGAAACGGGGCATCGACTGCAAGGCGCTTCCGGACGTGCAAACGGCGAGACAGACCTAGGAAAATAAAAATAAAACGGCCAATGGAGAAGGCTGGACGACAGGTAGCTGACGTGACGGGGGGCACGAGAGAGTGATGACTTCATTGAAAACAACACACCAAGCTAAGCCTCCCCCTTGACGCCCCCTCGCGGAGGCCCAGATCATGGAGTCTGCAGAAGAATTTTCTGTGTTCAACCGCACAGAGACTGACTTTGGCGAGCGCGGTCGATGCTACAAATTAAAACACACACATACTACACCACCACAGTGATGCCTTCCCCAGATCATGGACTCTGCCTTTGCATTTCTAGTCGCACTGAGAATGACGTCATTTTTCATTGGCCAGCCGGCTACAGCAATACAGCAGCAGCACGGTCCATGCTGGCAACGAACAACCCACACACACCGTTCACGAGACGGGGCAACGCGGATGGCACCGGCGACGACGCCGCAACACGTTGTACCCAAATCAACCAACAGCCCGCACTCCTTGACAACAAGAAGTAGGACACTGCGTCCACAGGTATTTCCATCTTCCCATCGGACCTGCCTTCCTTGATCTTTCTGGGCCTAAGAAAGGATTGCGCCACGCGTGGGACACACACACACGGGCCCACATCTGCAGCTCTCTGCCACCGTGATGACGTCGACTTCAGCAAAGAGGTCGACAAGGCTCTCCGTGCGGAGATTGTTCAATCGGGTGTTGTATGTACAGCAGTGGTGGTCCCGACATATCGCGGTCCCGGCATACCACTGTCCCGAGAAGCGCGGATCCCGATCATCCGCGGAAAAAAATGCTTGCCACGGGATTTGGTTACTGGTTACTACTAAGAGCTGTCATTCGTTCCCCAACACTCAAAAGTGCGGTGTTCCGATATACCTCGGGAAAACTCACTATGTTACAGGATTTGGCTACCATACTATCTTCGTTCCCCGGCTTTCAAAAGTGCGGTGTTCCGAAATACAGTGGTAAAATGAAAATTTCACTACACCGCGGTACGGCATAAGGTATATCCTTACCACCACTGTACTGTTCGCACATGAACGATGCACGAACGCACCTGCGCGATAATTTCCACCCCCATCTCCTGGCACACGGTGTACGCCTCCTTTGCTGGGAAAACAGTCGCGCGCGCACACGGAGGGACAAAAGGCGATGGAGTCAAAGGGAGGGGGGCCTGCGGAAGATAGCGTCATCGCTAGTACTGGGATTGCTAGACTACCTACATGGGTTACGATGGAGTCAGCAGGGAGTCAGAGGGAGGGGGCCCTCGCAAAGATGTAGCGGCATCCGTTGTCCTGGGGGTGTTCAACCACCACCGTTCACGGGTTCAAGGGTCCCTCCATGTGGAAACCGTGGAACACCCCCCCCCTCCCGGGCCAAGATTGACACACAGGATCACCACTTTAGGCGGCTCACTTGCAGCATTCTATTACATAGGAGTTAGGGTGTCTATAGTAAAACCAGCATACGCTTCATTGAATAGACTTTCGTGCCGCATTCTTGAACCCATAGAACACCCTTAATTTGTAGACTCTCTTGTCCTACTATTTCCTACACCATACACTTGTCCTCGCGACCAAGATTGACGCGTGTTCTTGGGGTCTTTCCATAATTTCCACTAGCTCTGTGTGGGATCCCGCGCGCGCGCCTGCTGGAAAAAGCGCCCGAAAAATATCGAAGCCCCGGGGATTTTGTCAAAATGTCCCCTCCGGCAACATGTAAGGCCTACCCCCCCCCC